TTCTTTTTTTATCCAATAAGCTTATGTTTATTGGATAGTCGACTAGTTGCTTACATCCCTAGTCCAAACACTGATTGTCTCTTCTAGTTCCGCCTACAGAGCTTACCAAGTGCATGGGAAAATATGCACTTGTGTCACAGAACCCTGGTTCCTGGGTCTGTCTAGGCAGCATTTTGGTTTGGTGACGAGCTTTCTTTGCTGCTGCTGGGACATGTATTATTGGGGGGGAGGGTTGTGCTCGAATATACATAGGCATGCAAACTCGGCTAGGTCCCAGCACGTTTCCTGGACTTACCTGACACAGCATTTAGCACTGAAAGGTTTAATCCTGGGATCTGAATCCCAGTCACTAGTGGCAAACCACTGATTGGGCCATGACCTGAAAGCAGCTATGTGGGGATGTGGGTGCAAAGGCTATGCCCGTGATGTGCTGCGAGCAGAGAGCTCTCTGTGGGCCATCTTCGTGGGCCAGGGCGCAGAGAGGAGCTGCACCAACAGAGTCAGGATGGGGAAGGAGCGTCCTAGCCAACAGCACCTGATTTTGTAATGAAACCCGATCTCCTGGAGCGTGCTCAGGGCACTCCCTTCCCCCACTGTGCTAAAAAGCCTACGCTTGCCAGCATAACCTGATCCTTCAGGGACAGGGACTTGTGATCTTTCCAAAAAACGAGGCATCTTCTATTTATTCCTTGCCACCCTCTTCAGCCGGCTCGCACCGCCCCTGCGCTTGCTCTCCTTCCAGCCCTCCTTCCATCCTCCCTCTGCACTCGCTGACTCAGGCTTCTTGTGCCACCAGCCCTGCACTTCCTGCAATCTGCCTCCCTCTCTCTGCCCTCAGCTGCTCCCTCGCTGCTGTGGGACCAGGGCGCCTCAGCAGGAGACCCCAGCAGCGGGGCCGGGGCCTCGCCCCCTGCCCCGTGGCTCATGGGTACCTTGGTGCAGCAATGCTGGAAGCACCTCAAGCCTTTCCTGCCCTTCTTCCTCATCAGTGGCATGGTGGCGGCGCTCTACTTCATCCTCCATGCCATCGTCCACAGCGGGCCTTTCACCGACAAGGACTTCTTCGAAAAGTTTGAGCGCAAGTGGCCCAAGCCCCTGCCCTCCAATGAGAGCGGCTAGATGTCATGGGTACCTTGGTGCAGCAATGCTGGAAGCACCTCAAGCCTTTCCTGCCCTTCTTCCTCATCAGTGGCATGGTGGCGGCGCTCTACTTCATCCTCCATGCCATCGTCCACAGCGGGCCTTTCACCGACAAGGACTTCTTCGAAAAGTTTGAGCGCAAGTGGCCCAAGCCCCTGCCCTCCAATGAGAGCGGCTAGATGACCCGTGGCTTCGTTCTCCCAGCACAGGAGCTAGTCTCTCTGGCCGGCACTGGTCTGAAGGGCACCACAAGCAGCTTGAGAGGGAGCAGCCTGGAAGAGGAGGCAGATAGGTGGTGTGTGTCTGAGAGAGAGAGATTTCGGGTGAGATGTGACTGTGTGTGGAGAGGTCGTTGTATTTGCACGTTCGTCGGCGTTAAGGCCAGAAGGGACCATTCTACTCATCTGGCCTGCCCTCCCACATTACACAGGCAGTGGGAATCTCAGCCACCCGTGGGCTCCTGGCTGTCAGTGGGGGTTTGAAGGGTGGGGTCTGTTTGGGTGGGGAGAGGTGAGGTGTGGGAGAGAGTTTGTTTGGCGGTGGGCTCGTGTACGGCCATTGGAACCCGCTCGTCAGTGTGTGTTGTGTTCCCCTCTGTGCCAGCTCCGAGAGGAGGTCAGCCTGTTCCAGAGCTCATCTCAAGAGGGCTGGCTTCCTAGCTAAAGCTGCAGCTTCTAGCTCTGGAAGTTCCTGGTTTTGTCCTTGATGTTGGTCAAGATGGTGGCCTGGCCAACATACTGTAATGTCCCAGCACCTCCTTGTGGTGCCTCACAATCTCGCTGCAGTGTTTGTGTTGGACTTTACTTGTAGTGTTTGTCACAAGCCCAAGCTTTTGCACACATCTGAGATTTCCTAAATCTCTCAAGTTGATCTGCAGGGTCGCAGCAAGCAAGCCGTGGTGTGGTCTGCAGCCATAAATGTGTATCTGTATGAACTCTACAGCTCGCTGCCTGGCATACTCCTGCTACTTCTGTGCCTTCACATTAACCTGCTGCTCTCTTTCAGGGTAAAGTACGAAGACCCCCATGCAAACAAAGGGCTGGCGGAAGCCCTAGATGCCCGGCAGCAGAGCACAGGAGCGGTAAGTGGCCATGGGACTTTCCACACCCACCAGCAGGGGCGGATGAGAGTGCCATGGGGCCCAGGGCAGCGCCGCAGGGCCCCGGGCAGCAAAATTTCGCGGGGCCCCCCCTTTGACACAGCGCATGCGCCGTGGTGCCAAGGCGCATGCGCGGGGCCTCTGGAAGCGCGGGGCCCGGGGCAGCCGCCCCAGTCTCCCTGCCCTAAATCCGCCGCTGCCCACCAGTAAAGGGCCCGTTCTCCCTGCCCACCAGGAGTGCAAGTCAATGGGGTCTGTCGGGGCAGAGCCACCCAAGCATGAAGGCCAATCCGTAACCAGTCTGACGGTGGTAATTTCCAGTCGCCGATAACCTGGGGCTGGATTGGATTTGGGCCCTGTGTGGGGTGAGGCTGTATATCCCCTTCTCCACATCCCTGACCAAGGGAGGCCTCCTCCTTTGTCTTGTAGACGCTCCTCCCCACCCTTCTAGACTTCTGGAGACTGGCTTGCTCTGCTCCCACTCTCTCTTCCCATCCCGCCTTGAAAGCAGGTCTCAGTGCAGACTCTCTCTTAACCAGATGGAACCTAGCACTTGCCCTGGTGGAGCCCCACTAACTGACTGGATGGGGGGGCAAGGAATGGTGAGGCCGCACGTAGCTAGTGGAGATCACAGAGAGCCGGGGCTGCTGGGCTACGGGGTGAAACTGGCACAGCGTCTGGGCACACACAGCAAGGCAACAGGGGAAGGGCTGGGCAATGAGGAGCCGAGCCAAAGCAGCATTCACAAAGGGAACCCTGGTCTGGGCAGGTAGCAGAGACTGAGGAAAGAAACCAGAAGTTGTGCCCCCTCTCAAGGTGTAATCATGCGCCTGGGGTAGAAGGCAGGGATCCAGCACCTCTGGATCCAAAAGCATGAGTGACTGTAGTTTGAGTTCTGGATAGGGGCACAGGTCTGGTGTCCAGTAAGGATGTTAAGGCCTAGTCGACTATCGGATAAGCAAATGCTTATCGGATAGTTGAGTCAACTAATTGATCCTTTCCCCCGTTTGCTGCCTCTATCAGATAGAGGCAGCAAAGGAGGGAGAAGAGGGGGTACTTCAAAGCGGCAGCGCCGATTGGAGGCTAGGGTCAGCTCCGTGCAGCACTGCTTTGAAATGCTCTGAGTCGCCCGCTGACCCCAGGCTCCATGCAGGCGCTTCCGCTTTGAAATGCACAAAAGTGCCCACTTGGTACATTTCAAAGGAGGAGTGCGGAAGTGCTATCGAATAGTCGATGGAAATTCCATCCACTACTCAACTAGTAAATTCCTCAGTATTTAACATCCTTTGTGTCCAGTCTTTCAGCCAGCCTACTCCAGGGCATCATGAGGAGTGCTGGTGCCCATAGTGGGATTCCAGTGGCTACTGACTTCTAGTGTTTGGTCATAGAGCATGTGCAGGGGCTGGTCCCTCTCTAGTAGCTAGACCATGTAAATTGGTTTAAGGTTGCTACTGCCTTGACGCTAAGGTGCCTAGTCCTTTGGCTCAAGTGACAGTGCTTGTGCTTTTTTTAGACCCAGAGGTCTCGAGTTCAGTCCCTGGGGCAACAATACATTCACAAGACTGCTCCTTTCAGGCTTCCTAGCAGGGCCCAGCCCATAGTGACCTCTGGAGTCCCCACACGCTGTCCAGTTGGCTTGTATACATCTCTTAGCGTCTGTGGCCTTGAGGATCCCACTCAGGACAGATTGAAACCTCCATACTCACAGCCTCCCCCTGCAATCATGCTGACTACCTGAGGGCTGCTTTTCCCAGAGCAGCTTTATCTTGACATCGGGGAGGCTGCAGCAGTATCTGTCCAGAGGGAGGGGACTGGGAATGCCGCTCTGCTAGGCTTTACAATCCCGTGTGAAGAGTTACATGAAAATGGGAGATGAAGAGACAATGGCCTCCAAAGCACCACCTCCTATTTCTGCTTGGGAAACCCGCTGCCCCTCTTGCTTCTTTCTCACTTGGTCCTGGGGCTTGCCGTTGGGTTTTGAGGCTTTGGGCTGGTGTTGGGTGACTAGCAACCCCTGGCCACAAGAAGGGCCCCTCTTCCCTTCCACAGTGCAATCGGCCAATGGCGAAAGCATATCTGAATGAGCCATCTCTATGGGAAGCCAGCAGCCAAGTACCTCCACCTTAACTATAGAGGTGTTTCCCCTCCTGTAGGCCTTTCCACAGCTGGGCTTGGCAGGCCATGTACCACAGAGAGCCTCAGTTAGACTTGGGCCTTCCTACTTGCCAGGCTCACCTCTTCCTCACACCCGAGCCCACCGTAGGGGTGTGATGCCAAACCTGTAACAGCCCCCCTGTTTGCAGTGTGGTGGGCTGTGATGTCTGACACTATGGAAGGTTGTCCCAGGGGGGATAAAAATCTCTTGCTTTTGGGTAAGAATCTGCCAGGCTAGCATGGGGAAGCCAGGAAAGTACCCCCATGGTGTGTCTTCCTGTCTGAGCAGCCTGTGTGGCAGAGTGTGAGCCAGTGTTGTGAGCCCTTCCAGACCGAGCAGTGCTGGAGAGGGGAATGAGCCCTGTAAAGGGGATGGGCCAGTGTCAATGCCATAGCACCAGTCTCAAATCTCCAGCTCCTGCCCAAACACCTGTGTGCTAGAAGACCCGTCTGCAGGTCGGGAGAAGGCATAAAGACACTGCTGGCTGGGAGGGACACGGTGAGTTTGGCCAGAGCAGCAAGGGACTCGCAGGGGAGAAGAGAGTTTCTTCAGGGACAGATTGGAGAAAGTTCCTCTCTTTCTCGGCCTTATTCCTCTCCTCCTTCCACCACAGATCCCGGTCCCCCAGCCCAGCTTCATGGAGGACATTGAGCAGTGGCTCTCCACTGATGTGGTAAGTGAGGGGCACAACAGGGGGTGGTTTCTTTGGTACTTCACATACTGCTGTTGGCTGGCAATGATCTGTGTCTCCTCTGGCCTCCGGAGGGGCTCAAAATCCCTTGGGTGTTGGCGATAACTGCCCAAGGCTCTTGCAGGTGGCAATGTGGGCCAGGTCAACATGGGCAGAGGTTTCCTCATGTTCCCTTCCTCAGAACTCAAGCCACTGACCTCCCTCCCCCCTCCCCCCTGCATTCCTTCCTCCACACTGCCACCCTCCTCTTCCTCTCTCCTGATGGCCACAACACCCTCCCAGCACCATCCTTACCCATATGCAGAATACGCAGTTGTGTAGGGCACCTGAAAATGTGGGGCACCACTGGGTCTTAATGTCCACCCACCTGCCTCTTCCTATTCCCTGTTCTGTGGCTCTGCTTCCTCCAGAGAGGAGCTAGTTAACTTAAAAATGAAAAGCCTGCCAGACCTATTAGCAGAACATCGAACCTGCGAAAGAGCCATCCAAGTGGTAACAAAGCCATTTAACAGGCATTTGCCAGCCCTATGTCTATATTGTACTGTCAGTTTCTGAATTTACTGTGTTAGTGGGCAGGATCTTAGTTTACAGTTTATTTTAAAAATATTTCATTAGGGTGTTGCTGAAGATTATCCAATGACATCTCTAAAAAATCATCATCGTCCCTTGCTGCCATTGGGTATAAGGGCACCAGTTTAATAGTACTGCGTAGGGCCCCATACATCCTAAGGACAGCCCTGTGCCTTCCCCCCGCCTCCTGGAGCCTGCGGTGCATGCTTAGTTCAACCTGTGGGAATCTCCCCAGTGGAGTCAGCCAGGATCTTAACGCGGGACCACCTGACTAAGAGGAGAGGATGGGTAACAGAGCTGTGCAGGGTATGCACAGCATGCTGCTAGGAGAAGGCAGCTGAAGGGGATGGTTTGATGAGATAACATGATCTTGGTAACTAATTGACCATTCATTATCAGTGGGAAATAGGTCAATGGAGGGATGATAGGAGTTACTATAGAGAACTTTCTGGGTGTCTGGCTGGTGAGTCTTGCCCACATGCTCAGGGTTTAGCTGATCGCCATATTTGGGGTCGGGAAGGAATTTTCCTCCAGGGTGGATTGGCAGAGGCCCTGGAGGTTTTTCGCCTTCCTCTGTAGCATGGGGTACAGATCACAGCTGGAGGATTCTCTGCATCTTGTGGTCTTCAAAGTATTTGAAGGCTTCAATATCTGAGATATAGGTGAGAGGATTATTCTAGGAGGGGTGTGTGAGATTCTGTGGCCTGCACAGTGCAGGGGGTCAGACTAGATGATCATAATGGTCCCTTCTGACCTTAAAGTCTATGAGTCTATGAGGAGACAGCAGGCCGACTCAGATCCCCACGGCACTCCTGGTTGTGTGGTAAGCAAGGGGATTGGTGGCATGGAAGCTGAGGGTTCTTTCTGGAGGCTGTGAGATGAGGCCCCCTGGATTGCAGAGAAATCTGATTTGGGTGAAGAATTTTCTTCCCGTCCTTCCAGTGCTGCCAGCTGTTACTTCTGGGGGAGGGCTAGAGAAACCTCCCCCTTTACTGTCAGTAGGGATGAAGGTTGCACTCCCATTTGCCTCAGTGGAGCAAAGCACGGTGCCCTTACATGCCTTTCTTCTCCTTTCCCAGGGGGAAGAGACAGAAGATGGGAAGGGCGTCACCAGCGAAGGTAAGAGCCACCAACCTCTCCTTCCCCCTGAGCCCTTCTCATGGCCAGTTCCCTCCTCTTCCTCATCACTGACTCTTCCCACCTCAGAGTTCGACAAGTTCCTGGAAGAACGAGCAAAGGTGGCAGACCAGCTGCCCACGCTCCCCAGCCCCCACGCGGGGGCACCTGCTGCCTCCGGCCCACACCGAAAGCAGGAGAAGGAAGAGGACACTATGTTTGCCTTATGAACCCTATGGACTGGTGTGCTGCGGAGCAAGAGGACCCGTGTTGTGGTGCTCCATTCCTGCCAACGGCTGGGAGAGGAAGGGCCCAGCATCCCTCTGCTCTCCTCTCACTCCTCCCCCCCCCTTATCGATTTTAGGCTGCTTTGGGGTTAAGTTAGTCATTGCTGTGTTTGGGAACATCACGGAGCAGGCCTGAAGGTGCTGGTGAAGCTGCTGGAAATGTTGCTGGATGTGCCTGGGGGCCCAAGGGTTATCTCTTTTGTGATGGAGGCAAGCAAAGGGCTTTCCCCAGCCTTCTTTCCAGTAAAATCACTGTAACCCCTCCTGAGAACTGGGCGCCAGCAGCTGTCTGCATCTGGGGTCTTTCCTATGCGGCTGCTCCCTTTGATGGGCCAAGTCTCCCTCTGCTAGCTGGGGTGCCGGGTACCAGGCTGTTCTCTAAAGTAGATCCCCACCCTGCTGCTCTCGGGGCTGATCTTTGCCCATCCCCTGCTGAAATGGGACATGCAGGGATGGGGCCATTGTGGTGAGGGGGTGTGACTTTTCTGGGGAGAGCACTGACAGCAGAGAGGCCTCTAGAATTTGTTTCCCTGTCACAAAAGCACAAATATGCAACACTCCCTCTTGTGCCCCCAGAACCTCACCCAGGGGCCATGTGATTTTGTTGCACATAGTCCAGGTACCAAATCTCATGGCTGGATATGAGGTTGGGGCTGCAAATGGTACCAAATCCGAGAATGGAGGGGTGTAATCTATCCTTGGAAAGGGGGGAGCAAAGGGCCAGATGTGCCTTCGGCAAACGCTCTGAAGTAAACTGCTTTGATTCCTGGATCTCCTTTAATCCCCCCAGCCACCTCCCAATTAAATTCCCCCCGTGATGTCCAGCTAAACCTCCCCTTGTCCTCACTGTGGAATGGGGGAGTGAGAGGAGAGTGCCCCTTGAGAGAAAGAGGAGAACACTTAAGCAAACAGTGCAAGCTGCGCTGGGCAGACATGGTGGGTCAGGAGCGTCTGGGGCTAATGCTGATTATTCCGTGTAACCTGGGAGACTTGCCTTTTGTATCACACATTAAACAAGCAACATCTTGACCCCCTTGGTGGGTGTGTGCTGCTGTACTTGTGGGCGGAGGTACCTGGAGAGCCAGGCTCCTGAGAGCAGGAGTGGGCACCAGCTCAGGGTGGAAGGGAGTGAGGGGTCAGGGCTTCCAATACCTGGGTTGGAGCTGGGAGTTAGGGCAGGAAAAGGAGGCAGCCAAGGAGCTGCAATACTCTGCTATTCTGGGCTGGTATAACCAGGGGCTGTCACAAAATCAGGACAACTGCATCTATATTGCCCCATTGTGGTCCAGCAAGGGCACCCACTATCCTGCTTCCAGCTCACCAACTGGTAAGTCTCGTGGGAGGAGGCCTGCCTCTCCCTCCTTTGTGACCAAGTGGTTGCCAGGCTACACAGTTCCCTGCCTTCGCTGTGTCATTCCCAGCAGAGACTGGCTGCCCCTGGATACCTGCTTGCTTTCTCTTTAGAGATGATTAACAAATATAATTGCCACAGTTATAAGTTACCCACACAGCATTTCCTGTGCAAGCCTAATTTATCTTCAAGTAAAAAGCATTACAGCAAAAACATTAAAAACAACAGAAGAACCTGCCTGCGTGCTAATAAGCTTATCAGCAATCAGACTCTAAGATGGGTTCGGGCAGGAGCAGGCCCCAGCCATGAGGTTTCCAATTAGAGCAACAGCTCAGAGTAAGCACTTAATCTTATGGAGCCTTCCTAAACCCAGTCCTTTCCTAAGGATTGAAACTACTCTGTACACTAGGGTCCTGACTGCTAGATCAGGAAGAAGGCCCTGAGCCAATTTAAAATGAGCCTCTTTATTCCAAAACTCCTTTCTGTCTGTTAGACCCTGCAGATTCCAGTTTGAACTTGAATGTGTCTGTCTCTGGCAATGTTCTTTCTAATCTTTCCCATCCATGTGTGGAATAAATTTTAATGTGCGCTGAGGCATGTGTGAATGTGCACCATCCGTAGAAACAAAACCTAGCTGTGGGTGTTCTGCAAATCATCTGGGCAGCATTTAATTTTCTCCTGAATGGCCATACAAGCACACAGCTTACAGGGAGCACTGGTCCCCGGATGGATGGCTTCAAAGGGCTGACAACAGAGCATCCCTCCACTGGCATCCCTCCCCCTAGAGAAGCTATGGACAATGCCACAATAACACATACCCAATGACATGTTTAACACAATGGACTTCCAAGGTATTAACCCTAATGCAATAGGGTTTAGCTTAATTCCATAAGGCTTGTTCAGGATATTACAGGACACGATCACTATGTCAGAAGGGCTGGGCCCAGAATTCAGGAGACACAAAGGTGGCGTAAAGCTACAACCACTAGTCTGGAGGAGGACCACAACCTTGTGGAGAGACTTGTGTGGGCTAACATCACTCAGAGCTATGTTGTCTGGAACTTTTATACTCCTGGTGGGGTCTCCCTTGGTGAGCAGATCTGAGGCAAGGCTTCTGACTAATAGTGGTTCAAATTTCGAAAGGCCCAAAATGGTTAGGGGATCAAGCATCCCATTTTTACAGTCCCGTCGTTCTCTTAAAAACAGGCAAATTGTCTGGTGTTTTCTGTCCCCTGCCATCAGTACCGATGAGTCCTGCTGCTCATCAGCTGCCACCTGCCCATCAGCAGTATAGGGGAGGAATCCAATGACTGACAATGCAGATGAGTGTGCAAGGCTGGTGGCAAGGCAAGGCAAAGCAAAGCTGCAGCCACTCCCTCTGCTGGTCGTCAGTGCAGCCCCAATGCATACTGGCTGTCAGCCAGCAGGCCCTAAGCCCCCCCTATTTCTGGCCTGCTTGCATTGCAAACTGGTGGCTTGTGTGCATGGATGAGCACCAGTTAGCAGCTGATTACATGTTGCTTCCATCTGCCCATCCAATGGCCCTTTACATGCTCCCCCTCTTACTGTCCTCTCCCTGCTTTTCCCCTTCAGCCCTCCTAGCCCTGCTGCACCTCCATATCCTCCCCCCAAGGGGCAGTCCCACTCCCAGCTCTGTGCAGAGAATCAGACCCTGGTCAGAGTGCTCAGTTCACCAACCGTCTGGCTGGCAGGCTCCTTCCTTCTCCCGCTGCCTGTTATGAAGGGACACCTGCCCTGCACTGGCCCTTTAAGGGTTAAAAACCAGCCCTAGGAGTGGGCGAAGTGGTGAGGTCAGCAGCTGTGGCAGGAATTAGCTAATTAGGGTCCAGCTGAGGGGAGTATAAATAAAGGCTCCTGGATGGGTGGAGTGAGAATCTTGCTGGGGAGTAGAGAGGGACCTGGCTGTTAGGGAAGTGAGAGGCTGCCTGACTTAGAGCAAGGCAGGTGGGGCTAAGGCAGCTCTGGCCAGGCCAGATTCCAAGCTGCAGGGCCTGAGGCTGTGTTTATATTGGCAAGATTTTGTGCAAAAGCAGCTGCTGTCTACACTGGCCATGAGTATTTGTGCAAGAACACTGATGTTCTAATGTATGAAATCAGTGCTTCTTGCACAAATACTCTGATGCTCCTGCTCAGGGATAAGCCCTCTTGCTCAAGTATTCTTGTGCAAGAGGCCAGTGTAGACAGCCATGTTAATTTCTTGCGTAAGAAAGACTGATGGCTAAAATGGCCATCGGAGCTTTCTTGCGCAAGACAGTGTCTACACTAACACGGATGCTTTTGCACAAAAAGTGATGGATGAGTGGCAATTTCAAACTGCAGTTTGCACAAAAGCACGTGCCAGTGTAGATGCTCTCTTGTGCAAATACTTTTAATGGAGAAACTCTTCTGTTAAAAGGATTTGAGCAAAATCATGCCAGTGTAGATGTAACTTGAGACTAATAGGGCTGCAGAGGGGGAGCCAAAGGCAGCAGGTTCACACCCTCTTGCCAGTGATGGATGAGTGGCCATTTCAAACTGCAGTTCTCTGAGGTAAGGGGCTAGATGAAGAGTGGCAGTGGGTCCCTGAGGCAAGGTAGGCAGAGATGGTTGGGGATTCCCAAAGCGGGGAGGACTCCAGAGTATGGGGGTACTGTGGCAGGGCAGTACCCAGGGAGGAGGAAGCCACAGTCTGGGAGGGACATGGGTTCTAACACCAAATGGTGGAGAATAATGAGTAACAGTAGGTGAGACACCAGCCAAAAGGGGGCACTCCAGGACTGAAGAGCTAATTCCCAGAGTGACCAGCAGGGGGTGCTGTGATGGTGAGTCATGCCAACTCCAGGACTGAAGAGCTAATTCCCAGAGTGACCAGCAGGGTGCTGTGGTGGTGAGTCATGCCGTGTTACACTGTATAGTGTGGTATCCTCTTTCGTTTGCAACTTTAAAGCAGGTGTGTGTGTGTAAGGACCTACCTTGTTTCTGGGTGCCCCTAGTAAAACACTGAACCCACCGATGGCTACAGCCCAAGCAATCTGTTACTCTGAAAGCCTACGGCACTTGCTCCAGGCAGAGCTGCACACTACCAAGCCTTGAAGGGGCAGACATGTCCCAGCAATTGTAAATATAGAGATTCACTACACTATTACCCATGACTGAAGTGGAAGCTGCTATGGTTTCAGTTCCTTGCGTGTTCAGTGTCACTATTTATGGTCCCAGCTCCAGGATGGTTTGTTTCTGATGAATAACCTCCTCCAGTCATGATAGGGGAACAAATCTGTGTGGAGTGTCGGGGGACTTGGGGATTAAAATGAGGGTAGCGGAGAGCTCTGGGTGTGGAGGAGCCTATGGACTGCAAAGGAGAAAGGATGGGAAAATTGAGGCAGGAGAGACAGAGAGGGAAAGCGCAAATATCAGTGACAAGAGGAAGAAGACATGAAAAGGGGAGAGGGCTGTACTTGCCCAATGCCTCAGTGCAGGAAGATTCAGGGGCAAGCTGGGGCTTATTAACTACAAAGGTACTCTAGCAAAAAAGGGGGGGGTTGGAAGCTGTGACAGATTGGACCCCCTGGGATTCCATCTGATGTGCTGAAGATACCACTGAGCCCACCTTTTCTGCCAGCCTGTGCACTCTAACTTGGTCTTGCTGAGACAGGCTCTTAAACTTCCTCTAGCACACACATAGAGCTGCACCTGGCTGCAAAATGATCCAGACACCAAGATCAGTTCTGGGAGGCCACAGCACTCAGGTGTCCACCTCTCTTGAGCACAAACCCAAAGCTGTATGAAATTCACCTCCTTCCCCAATGTGGAGGAAGGTATGTACAACTTTGTGCCCCACACCCAGTTAGAAATTACATAAATTGGGTTATGTTATAAACGAGAAATAAGTTTAACTACAAAAATGCATATTTTTAACTGCTTAAAGTGGTAGCAAACAGATTAATAAGAAAATAATACTAAACATGGAAACTAAGCTAGATTCACTAAATAACTGGTTACAAATAATTCCTTGGGCTAGATATTGTTTAGGTAGAGTCCTTTACAGGCAGAGGTATCTTTCTAGCTTGGGTCTAGCAGTTCTTCCTCCCCTGGCCTGCCCCTCAGTTCCAGTCCTTTTGTTTGCAGATGTTTTCAAGTATCATCGTTTTCCTCCCCCACCTTCTATAGGATTTCCATAACTCAGGAATCCTTTGATTTCCCCCACCTCCTCGTAGAACAGTACAACAGGATGGAGGTTAGGACAAGTTAAGCAGGTCACTTAACTCTGTAGCATCACAGTGTCTGCGTTGGTGTCCCTATAGAGCATCCCCGGGAAGGCCAAGCCCTTTTACAGTCTGTCCTTGCTGATAAGCCATTAGACCTGTCTGGCTTTGAAGTGTTAGGAGTGGGTGTCATCCAAAGTAGCATCGCTGAGCTAGGTATGTGTCAATATTCTTAACTTCATATACAAAAATGATACATGCCTACAAATAGAATAATCATATTCAGTAAACCAATCTTTCCAACGATACCTTACGTGAGCTACCTTGCATAAAGTACATCTCTCTTATGTTCTCATATTTTCATAAAGAATATGGAATGTCACAGAAGCCACAATTGGAAGCCCCTGTTGTAACAGTGGCTGGGCCTGTGTCCTCCTAAAGCATCTCACATACTGCAGGAATGGATGAAAGGCTCC